AAAGAAAGCTGGTAAAGAGGAAAGGTTGGGCATGAGGCTAGTAACCCCATCCTGTAAAATAAACACTGCTACAGAAACTTCAAGCCACTAACTTGAAGCCCTATGTTCCACTGGGGAACGTGAAGGAAAAAAAATCTTGAGTAGTAGTGAGCATAGGCAGCTGTTGATGAAGATGTGTACTTTGTTTGAGGTACTCTTCATGACGCGCCAAGTCTCCGATTCGTATAATTAGTAGCACTGGCTTCACATTGGAGTTGAAACTCTGGATCGTATTTTTCATGCTGAGTGGTGTTGATCTCCTCCATACAGACTTGAGAGAGATGAAAGCTTGCCTTGCTTTCCCGACCCACTCTTCGATATCCTCATCACTTCCATCCGACTGTAGTTGAAACGATGCTTCTCAGGTAGGTAGGTAAAACAGTTTGTTTCTTTCAGGTTCCTCCTCCCATTTATGCTGATTGCTGTCTGTTGTTGTTGTTGCTGTTGGTGGTGTTGCCCAGGAATCTTCATCACGTCTCTCTTCTCTATGTTCACCTGAAGTAAAGTTCTATCTTTGATGCTTCTATCGCCAACTTGTTGCTTTTCATCACTTGCATATCTTCCAGTTTTTGGGAAATCAAACTGGGTTGGTCAGTAGTATATACGGTACCCAAAATAAGCTTTGGCTTCAGTTGATCATCTTCTTGGTGCCTTTTCATGACAAAGTTTACTATGAAATACTTTGAGTTTATTCATATGTCTGTATAAAAGATTTATCCTGCATAGAAGTATCAATAATCCTTCAAATCGGCCATACAATATAGCTTCCAGATTAGACCCATGCTACTATGCTTTACTACTCGGTTGCCCATGGCAACGTAGGCAAAGAGGGTTTCCAGATGAATTCCACTATATATAAGTGTTGAAGTCGCCTATAAACGAACTGGTACTGCCGAGAATGTAAGTAGACTTCAGTCTTCCTCTCAAAATGCTGTGATGTAGCCACACGTTCATACACTTTGTTGGCTGAGTCCGGTTCATTGCCTTCACGCGGAGAGAGTGTTCCTCACAAAGCTGGAAGGGCGAATCTGAACGTTGAACATACTCATCAATTTAGGGGAACTGAAAAATCCTGATTTGAAATCTATGATGGCCATTGAATCCATAGTTCGAAAGGATTGGATGTAGTAGGAGACTTTCTTGTCACCAGGATCCATCGGAACGTAGCTTCTGATGCTACTCTACTGCATTCTGGATCAAACTTCAAATCAAACTTTCGGGCCAAAAACAAAATAAAAATAATTTTGAAACTAATAATGATAACATAAATAAGAGAGAATATAAGTCATCTACTGTTATATCATATAAGGAGGGGACATCTGAGACCCTACGTAGGATTCTCAATAAAGCAGGAATTAGGGTGGCATTTAAACCTACAAACTCACTCAGGGAGGGACAAGCTCTGTAGGCTTACAGACCCGGTGGACCCAATTAAACAAAATAATATAATTTACAAAATACCCTGCAATGACTGTCAGTGAGGTCAACTATATAGGTCAAACTAGTAGATTGGGGGGGGGGTAGTCACATTGTAGGAACATAATAATTTAGTGGCTTAGGTAAGAATGTTTGACCCCGAGAAGATGAGTAATTTAGAAAGAAACTTAGCAATTGCACTACATGCATTAACACACAATCACACAATAGGGTGGGTGGGAGAGGGTTAAGATTCTAAGAAGTAATCTATGTAGGTGGAGAGGGAGAGATTGATTACTGAATCCTGGTACATTTAGTCTACATGGAACACATGCAACAGAAATGATTCAATGCAAATACCAGAGATTTGGAACATATTATCGCCACCAGTCAGTCAAATCAGAAGAGGACAATAAATAATCTCGAAATTCTATTTCAATTCACGTACATCATAACATTCTAACAAGTTACTTATTATGACTATAAAAACACTCGTCGTATTTCCCATTTGATTGTATTTGATTGATAACACTCATATTATTATTTCTGAATGTACATTACCCCATACTGATTTTTATTCAAATATCTAGTCAATTCCACTTATGTATATAAATGAAGGAAAAAGTTGTGTGGGTAACTTGATATGAAAATGAGTGGCAATAGTTTATGCTCGAAACGTCATCAGTTAATATAACTGTGTAACACTGTTTTATACTTATTTCAAATCCCAATAAGCAAATTTTCTTTCACCTATTTCAACTTACACTACCTAATTATTTCAGAAGTTAGAGAAGCAGAGTGAAAGATATGTGTTCAACTATTCATGCTCTTTTCAAATGTGTCAGTTGGTCGTGACCAATCAGATCGATGGAATCGGATGTAAGGCGGGGGGCAAATACTCACTGATGACATTGTCTGGCAGTAACGTTCTATTTCGCATATTGACTTGAATTTAAATCCCCGGCTGTGATGGGCTTAATATTCCTTGTAACCAACACGAAGGTTCCGAGCTCGACGCCTAACAGCGAGTATGTATGGGTATGTACACTGATGAATTAGCCGCAAACTAGGCCGAAACAGTTATCCAGAAGTCTCTGTTTTTCAATGGTTCTCTAATTGATATCAGTTCGTGATGCAACTATTTGTATACCTCTCAGAGTTCAACTGACAATCACCTCTTTCAAAAACAGCACATCATATTTAAGGTATAGAATCATAGAAGGGGAGGGGGAGGTCCTCCTGAATAACTGGTAAGGTTTCCAGTTGAAGTTGACGACAGATATTGTTTTTAATATCCTTAGACCTTTGATTTTCTGCTGCGAGTGTGTTTTATCGCTAGGCTTAGTGACATTTTCAGTGCTGACGTCTTCATTCTCTGGTCTCAATTCATATTTTAAAGACAATTACAGTCACAACATTGGTTGGGAAAATATTATCATCTTACAAAACGTTTAAAAGCTCAAAGGTGACTAGAGAGACAATTTCTAGAGGTGTGATGATGTATGTTGTTGGTGGTTCACTCGCCAGTCACGCGGGAAGTGGCTCAGGGTTTGGTCCTTGATCGACGAACTCGTAAACTTCACCGTAGAGAAAACAGGGAAGGTCGGGGTTTAGTCTATCAACCTCATACTGTGAAGATAGCATTACTGCTACTGAAACCTCAATTCTTGAAGTCCTATTGCTCCACTGAGAAGGCAAGTAATCGAGAAAAAAATGACACTATCAGCAAAAAACCCGTAGATTATAGAGTCAGTTTATGTATATGCATAAAATATATACTGCCCGCTTTAAAAGAACAATCAGTGTTCAGTCATTTAAAAAGAAAATTAAGCAATTGGATCAATAAATCAATACACAATTACAATATCTGACAGTATAACATTTTCTGGACAATTTAAAAAGAACTATTTTATATATTTGGATTTAAAAACCCAAAAAGATTATATGACAAAAATCCCCTCCCTCTCTAACTAAACAACCTGTATATTTTATTCCAATAATCGGATTTCGTCACGATCCAACACACCCGACCAGAAAGATCATTGAAGAAAACCATGGGGGGCATTGGACAGTTATTTCGTCGAATTATTTGGAACTGTTCAGCAGTGTGTACTCACCAATGAATGCACCAGCGATTGAAGCCGGGATCTTCAGGTCATGAGACTAAGTTCAGTGATCATTCAGTCAATTATTATTATTACTGTTTCCTTTAATTCCTAGAGGAACATAAGGCTTCAGCCGTGCGTCTCCATTGCGTTCGGTTCTCTGCTAGAGTCTTCACATGGCTCCATGTCTGCCCATACGCTTTCATCTCCTCTTCACATGACCTCCTCCAAGTCACCCTCTCACTGACGACCAACTCGCCGCTTCCCTTTCGGGTTCCATTCGAGAGATGGCCTGTCGTGTGATGTCACTTGATGATTTGTCTTCTCATTGTAAGGCCAATCCACCTCCATTTCTTCCTGCCTATTTGTTTCACAATCGGTTCTTGCCGGGTTGATTCGCTCCCAGAGATCTTTGTTGCTGATCTTTTCTGACCGGCCATCTGATCTTGAGTAGTATTGAGGGAAGACCGCTGTTAATGAAGGCGTGTAGTTTGTTTGAGATGCTCTTTATGACGCGCTGGCGAAGTCTCTGATCCGTATATTAAGTAGCATTGACTTCACATTAGAGTTGAAGGTCCGGATCTTATTTTTGATGCTGAGTAGTGCTGTTGACTTCCACACAAGCTTGAGAGCAGTGAAAGCTTTCTTGCTTTTCCGATTCTTGCTTTGATATCCTCGTCAGTTCCGTTGGCGTGTAGTTGAAACGATGCTTCCCAGGTAGTTAGGTGAAGGAGGTTGTTTCTTTCAGGTTCCTCCCATTTGTGCTGATTGTTGTCTGTTGTTGTTGTTGTTGGTGGTGGTGGTGTTGCCCGGGAATCTTCATCACCTCTGTCTTCTCTATGTTCACCTGAAGTTCTATCTTTGATGCTTCTTCTATCGCCAACTTGTTGCTGTTCGCTTGCATATCTTCCAGTTTGTGGGAAATCAGACATAAATCATCGACGAAGTCCAGATCCTCTAAGTTTTGTATGGGTCAATTTTATGCCTGTTTCTTCATTGCCCGCTGTTTGTCGCATTATCCAATCCACTGCAATCAGGAAAATCATTGGAGATAGTAGACAGTCAGCCTTGTCTTACTCCCATCTTCACTTGGAAGGATTCCGTGAGTTTCCCGTTGTGAATTACTTGGCACGCAGCATTGTCGTACAGCTGTTGGATGAGATGAATAATTGTCGGTGGCACCCCATAGTAGCGAAGTAGTAGTAGTATTAGTTATTGTCGGAATAAAATGATCCCTGAATTCTAGCTTTCAATGATCTATCTAACTGATAGTCGGTTCATGACTGACGGAATCTAACACCTAAGATCAAATTAATCGGAATTCCCACAAATCCCATAATATATATATATATATATATATATATATATACATATATATATATATGTTAATGCGTATGTCACTGTTGACCTCTTTCTTCCTTTCTCTCTTTCTGTTTCTAGCATTTGGAATCGTCTGTGTAGTCCAGATCGACTGCCTGAAGTACATCAACAATGGTGGAAATCTCCAATTTTCATGACATATTTAAACGCTATCGACGTGAATGCTCAAAATGCGGTAATTACAAATTATATGTATTCATCAGTGTTTCTGTTCTCACAAACTTGTTTTTGATGAAACTCGTCAATAATTGAACTGCTCAGTCATATCTATAGTTATCACTAATTTCTAGGTAGAGGCGATGATAGGCATACTTAAAACTAAAGTTCGTTCAAGACGCGTCGTATAGATACTGGTCACTATCGTGTGATTTTTTGTTATGACTCTTCTGAAAACTTCGGATCCACAGATTTATTTACTTATTATTATTATTATTATTATTAAAACACAGACTTGGTGCTTTATGGGCACTAAGAGATGCACCACACAAAATCACATCGTTTTAGGGGGGGAGGGGAGGCTTAGATACCACTTGGACACGCCCAGAACGAAGCTGGTGATCGTCCGAAGAGATAGCCATCTCCCCCCGCTCCCGAATCTTTTACTTGATGTCTGGTCCACAAAGCAGTGGAGCAGTGTGAAGAGAATTATGTATCCATGGTTTCCCGTGACCAAAACACGGTTCATACTCCATGCTATCCTTTCGCATTCTGGAGTCCATGTATATCATATCCAGTTTACGCCGTCTCTGGCGTAGACGTGACATCCGACTATCGACCAAAGGGCGTGTGTACTGCTCAACAGTCCGCTCCGTCCTCCTTTATGGCTGTGAGACATGGCCATTGAGAGCAGAAGACACGAAAAGATTATCTGTGTTCGATCATAGGTGTCTGCGTTCTATCTCCCGTGTGAAGTGGTATAATAAGGTGAGCAATATTGAGGTGAGGCGTCGAGTGCTAGGTAAGGAGGGGAAATCAATCGACGAAACTGTGAAATTACTTCGCCTGAGATGGTTAGGACATGTGTTACCTATGCCCAGTCATCACCTTCCTCGACAATGGGCAATGTTAGCTGATATAGGGTCAGGTTGGAAAAAAGCTAGCGGCGGTCAAACCAAAACATGGCCTCACCAGTCAATGAAATCCACAACAGTTAGTTTTAGCCAGCCAGTCACGTAGGAAGGTGTAGACTTCCTGACTTGTTGGGGTCATCGGGACGGTAAAAACCAATGGTTGGAAACAATTGGTGACATGGCTCAAAATCGTTCTCAATGGCTAGCGCAGATGCATCCACTCCTTGTGACTTATGATTTCCAATGAAACTGTTTTGTTTTTGGTTATTACTATTCCTTTGTCTCACACCTCTGTTTACTGTCTATATTATGCATTTCTTCTACTTTCTTCTCTTGGTTTGTGTGATACAAGGAGGGAGTGTGGCGACTTGAACTGCCGCACATATGTGCAAAGTTCTATGTCGCAAACCGATCGACCGACCGATATCATATACTTGAAATGAGAGGTTTTCCCGGTTCTCCTGCGTAGACAGTATCATGTTCACCAGTCTGGTTGTAAGTTCTACACGTTCTCGGATTCTTCCTTCCACACTTTTGTGTAGAACACCCTGGCCACCTGGGATGCAGCGAATTGGATTTATTCTCTCGGTTTCTGTTTAGAATCTTTACCAACCCTTCTTGCTATATCAAGGTGAAAAAGACTAAAAATTGTATTACAGTGTCAGGATTTAGTCTTTGTTTATTTACGAATTCCTTTAATCTATTGTCTGGTGCAATGACTCGACTCAGTAGAGGTGTTCTGTTGACTTTACGGTTTGGAGCCGGGGCCGCTGGTGGCCATCATTTCCAATGTTCTATTTTTTCCGGTTTTATTACTGACTAGTAAACTAGACAAGGTTCAAGAATATGCAACTGTCAGTTGGGATTCGAACCTGGGTCTCGTGTATAGTTTGTGAGCAGCATTCTACTATGAAACCAGCGGCTCAGAAATCATTTCTATTGTCAGTATTATTAGTTTATTTCTTTGACTTTCTAGTAGAGCATAGGGTTCCAGACTTGACCTTTTTACTTTCAGTATTGATGGCGCTTTTTTTTTTACGGTGTGAGGTTATTAGCCTTACACTCGACCTTCCTTCCCTCTTTAATCGGGTTTACTATTGCATAAGCTCGGTGCAAGAGTGCGTCGGTTCGGAATCGAACCTTGGACCACCTATGTGGGGTTGACGAGCATTCTACCGCCGAACAACCGACGCAGGCTCAGGCAATACTGATGGTAAATTCATTTTAAAACAAGTCTGGAAGAATTTGAAGTTTTGAAAATCCTTATTATTTTTGCATTGACGAGATTCCTGATACAATTAAGGTTTTTGGCTGTGACTCAGTTATTTAAGTAATCATTACACATACAATTGGATAGTAAGTTTCTCCGTCTGTCTGTCTGTTTGTCTCTTTTGGACATACAACTTTGCACATATGTGCGGCAGTTCAAGTCGCCATACTCCCTCCTTGTAGCACACAAAGCAAAAGAAGAAAGTAAAAAAAATGCAAAATAGAGACAGTAGACAGGGATATGAGACAAAGGGGAAAGTAATATCGAAGAACAATATAGTTTCATTGGGTGTTATAAGTCACAAGGAGTGGATGCAACTGCACTAGCCACTGAGAACGATTTTCAGCCATATCACTGATTGTCTCCAGCCTTCATTGGTGTTTACCGTCCAAATGACCCCAACCAGGAAGTCTGCAGCTTCCTGCGTGGCTTAAACTAACTGTTGTGGATTTCACTGATTGATGAAGCGATGTTTTGGTTTGACAGCCACTAGCTCTTTTCCAACCTGATCCATCTTATTCCAGCTAACATTGGAAGTCAGTCGAGGAAGGCGATGGATAGACAGGCATGCGTAACGCATGTCCTAACCATTTCAGTCGATGTAGCTTCATTGATTTCCCCTCCTTACCTAGCACTCGATCGATGCCTAACCTCAATATTGCTCACCCTATTATACCACTTCACGTGGGAGATAGAACGTAGACACCTATGATCAAAGACAGCTAATCTTTTCATGTCTTCCACTCTCAATGGCCATGTCTCGCTCACAGCCATAAAGGAGGACGGAGCGGACTGATGAGCAGTACACCCGCGTAAAGATTTAGGTGTCAATCGATGAGGTTGTGAAGTTATATCGATTGAGATGGCTAAGATATTTGCTACGTCTGCGCAACCACATCCTTCTTTGACGAAAAATCTTAACCAACATAGGATTGATTTGGAAAAGAGTTAGGGTTGGTCAACTGAAGACCTGACATCATTCCATAAAATCTTTTAATTGTTACTTTGATTCACAAACGGTGGTGTAGACTACTTGACTCCAATCCACTTAGCTCTAAGAACCCAACGACTGGATCCCGTAGGTGACATGTTTTAAAAAGCCTTCATCAAATAACATAGATGCATTCGCGCTTTATCAATGCATTATGAGACGCATTGTCGCTTTTGCTGGGCATTTCCGTTGGCACAATGTGTTACACGTTGAAAATTCAACCTGCTCGTTTCTGCATAATAGTAACTGTCTACCGGCTGTCTGTCTAACTGTCTACCATGCTTACCGACCATGCACATGGTCCGGGGTTCGATCCCCGGCCACCGACGCACTCCTACTATACCTCGCTAGGTCAGTGATAGGACTGGCAAAGAGGGAAGGTTGGGCATGAGGCCAGCAGCAACCCCATCCTGTAAAACTAAACACTGCTACAGAAACTTCAAGCCTGTAGCTTGAAGCCCTATGTTCGACTGCGAACGTGAAGGAATAAAAAAAATCCGGTTTCCTCAGTATGTCTCAATCCTATTTCACCGTCCCTTTTATTTGCCTGAAGTCTTATTTTTTTTTAATAAATAAGCTAAACAGTTTCTGTATTCGGAATTGTATTTATTTGTATATTGTTCTATGCATATTTCGATTAGTATTCAACTTATATCTATATAAACTTTGAATTAGTTTTGTTATTTGAGAACATAATGCGTGCTATTAATGAGAGTATTAAATTACTACAAATCGATACTATATATATATATATATATATATATATATATATATATAATTGCTCAGATCACCTTTCAAGAACATATTTACTGATTTTAGACTTTGTAAAGTATGAGATTCTACGTTAAAGATAAAATATAACTAGTTTAAAAGCCCATGAACTCTAAGTATTCACACTCGATGTTTCATACTGTATTGTATTAAAGTGTTTCTGACACAATGAATGAATGGATGAATGAATGTGAGTCTATGAAGTCACCGAAATTGTGCGTAGAATTGATCTAGAATTCTTTGTCTTCGGCTCTGGAGAGAATTCTGTCTATCAACTTAGTTTACTTTGTGCTCTATCCTACCTTAAAGCAGTGACAATGGTTGTTTTCTGCATGCCTCACAGCAGTACGCTCCATTATGGATAAGATTTTATTTTGATAAACACTCACAGTGTTGTTATATAGTAAGTAATATTAACTGATGACGTGTATGAGATGAAAAATAAACTAAATGACATTCAACTAGAGGAGAATGATGAAACAATGGTTAGTTTTGATACATAACTAGTCTTTATACTAATCTAATATACCAATCAATATGGCAACCTTAGAAGCAGTTAAAAATAAAAGAACTAACTGCAGATCCTGAACTCACTCATAGGACAAAGCGGTCCGTTGAGGAGATTATTTTAGGAATTCAGTTATACTGTCTCACATCTACTATCCTTAAATTCCAAGGCGAAATGTATAAACAAATAAATAAACAGAAGGTGTAGCAATGAGATGGATCACCAATATCTGTCTATCGTACCAGATATCTTTATGGATAGCTGGGAAAATATGGCTCTTAATACATTTAATCCTACTCCAAATGAAATGGTGGAGATATGTGGATGACACTTTCACAGTGTTAAAAACAGAACATATCTATCTCTAGCTTCTTGACGCATATAAACTCACTAGTAGAGGGAATGAAATTCACATTTGAATCGGAAAATGAACAAGGAGAATTAGCTACGGTGTTAGATTGTAAAATAAAACCAGTAGAAGAAGGTAAACTGCAAACTAGCGTTTATAAACAACCAACTCATTCTAATAGATGTTTAGACTTTAAATGATCTCTCCCCCATTCGT